TGCTCAAAAGTGCGTGAGATACTTGACGCTTCTGAAGTAAGTACTGTGAATATCAACGTCTTGTTCAGCTATTGTTTGTTTGTTTGTAAGTATTAATGTAAGTTGTTGAATTGAGGACAGGTGTGGAGTGCATATAAAGACCAAAAGCACGATCTCTTCCTCCCATCAAACACGCAGTCAGCGGCTGGAGTGGCTGGTTTTATCGAGAGCTCATCCAACAGTCTCACTTACGCCCTTACTGCTCCTCCTTCGTCTTCTCCTTGACCATTTGTGTATCCTTTTGTAAAGTCACATCAGTTTCCTTTCTTTCTTCTTTCTATCGATAAGATATTGTCGTTTGTAAATGTTTGATGAGAAAGTAAAAGATATTTTTTTGTCAGCAAGTAAAAAATAATTTGGTTTTCATGTAGATACCTACCATATCTCTTCTTCCTCTTCCTATATTTGATTTTTTATGCTTAAACTCATAACGCCGATCCTAAAACCTGGAAGTTTAATGTTTTCTCTTTTCCTCTCTTGATTTTTTTGAGAATTCTCTTTAATAGCACTTTTTTAAGTTTTTATGACAAAAATAGACCTCAAAAAATAAAGTCACCAAAATAACACATTTTATCTTGTAAATTTTAAATTTTTTTATTTTTAAAAATTTGAAACCATATCTTTAAAACCCAACTCTTCAACTCTAAACAAAAAAGTCTAATATTAGTTAACTCAAAGGATAAAAATATATATTTAATAAAATATTTAAGTGCTATTTTAGTCATTTTAACTGTGAAGATCTATATAATAGTGACAAAATTTTTTTTAAGTTTATTTTAGTCATTTTCTCATTTTTGTTTTTGTTTTGTGGGGTAAGTTGAATCCCACCTACATGAAACAATCAATTTAAGGCAATTCTAATAATTGTAAGGTGTTTTCTTTTTGTAAATTAATATTAGATTTATATAAAGAGTAGCATACACTTTTAATACTTACCATGTTAAATAATTGTTTGATATACCATTTTTAAACATAATAGTTTTATAATTTACAATGATTAATTCTTCTTAACTGTTAACTATACCATTCATATTTTTATCGTATTAGATTTGTGTTGGATTATTATTATTTATATGAAATATGCTTAAAATGATATATTTACAGACTAACTTATATTTTATTTATATACTATATATATATTAACTATTTTTATATTTTACAGTTTAGATGAACATAACTTCATATTAATAATAATAAAGTAAATAAACTCATTGATTTAGTAAATCTGAGGAAACAACCGACAAAAACCTTATTTTAGCTATATATGGTTTTCACAAATTCTATTATTGTTTTAATTATTTGTATGGCTATATAAATAATGAATATTTGAGTTTAAAAATTATTGAAAAGTGAGAAATGGAATATATAGATAACTACTTATATGATTCGAGGTGTCAACAAGACATGACCGTCTGTTCTAAGAAAGCTGTTTTCTGGCTTATACGAAAAAAGTTTTCAAGGAGGAACCCGAGCTTATCCCCTCTCATAAATATTTGTGCTATGAGTAATTAATTATATATTTGAGATTATGTGGTAATTTCGTTGTCTATATTTAAGTAATATTTTGTAACATACTTGATTGATTTATAAAGAAAACGTACTCTGTGTTTAAATATAATATTAATTAGTTAAAATAGTGAATTATTAATTAGTTTGATTAAAGTGAAATTATAAGGGAGTAGTCAAAGGATTAATTATTTAGAACTAGGGTAAATCCGTCCTACGGACGGGCGACTAAATAAATTATTAATACAAATTTGTTTTAATTTTTATTTTTTTTTAAATTTAAAACGGCCTCAAAGTTCATAATTATTTACAACATTTTATATGTATTTTAACCCCATTTTAGAAATTATAAAATTGCCTAATTACAATAAAAAATTAAAATGTAATTATTTACTTTCTTTCAATGTTTATTTTAATTTAACTATATCAATAAATCACATAGTTTTTTAAAATTATTTTATTAGAGTAAAGTTACTTTCTCTCTTAGTTATATATTTATTTTCATGTATTATTTTTTCCTAATTTTAATTATATAAATACTTTATAAGTTTTGATAAATTATGTGATAAAGTGTTCCTCATTTTTGAATAATATTTAGTGATATATACGAACCTGTTGGTTGCGGTGACACCAGCGCTGGAACATCTTCCCGTGATACCACACGGATCATCAGTATAAAAGCCTGCATATCGTTTAAATTTCTTTACTCACCATCACTAAAAGCAAAGCAGAGGATCAGGGCTGGTCCTGAGATTTTGGGGGCCTTTGGTGGTTTCTAAATAAAAAAAATTTTGGGGGCCTAAAAATTTTTTTTTGGGGCTTATATTCATGTAATTTTCTTCAAAATATTTGGAGGTCTGAAACAAATGTTTCATTAGGCATGCCTCAGGGCCGGCCCTGCTGAGGATTGTAAGGCTGCTATGAAGGAGTTTCTGTGTGAAATGGGTCTGATTATATACGTAAAATTGAATTCAGTGTGCATTTAATCGGCAGTTTGAGGAAATAATAAGTCTGAGAATATGAGAAGTCAAAATAAATATTTTAATCCACATGCCAATCCGATCATATGAGTTACGTAGAACATAAAATACTTGAGCAGTTAATAAGTTAACAGGATTCAAAACCAGTTGACTACATGTTTAATAATACATTCGGAGATCGGCGCTATCGAGATACGCATATTCTTCACATTCTGATCGATTATGTAACTCACTCGGTTCTTAGCTAGTGGACCTCAATTTTTAATCTAAGTAGGCGTTGCAATTAGGAACGAACAATGTGACTTTCTCCTCAATATCACTTCTTAGTGCATGAGTATTTTTTTTTTTATATCACTCATGCTATTACCAGACTTTCTGAACATATGGAAAATAATCTGTATCATAAGTTAACTTGCCAAGCATATAACACATGACATGAGGCGTAACATAAACATAGTAGACGTCAACTTCCTGTTTACTTAATAAATATCGGTTTACCAAACATAATATACAAACACCAATTGGTTCTGAAATAATAAATACTAGATTTTGACCCGCGCAACCGCGCGGATGTTTGTTTTCGTTTATAGTTAGTTGTATAAACATTTGTTTTCATTTGTAAATTGATATATATTATAGTAATCACATATTTACGATATGTATAGTAAATGTTTTTCAAACATAATAATATTATAGAATAAGTGTTTAAACCAAATAGATTGTTTCAAATTTTCTATATTATACATGTTTTTCAAACATGTGTTTGTTTCTTCTTCTATATTTTATTATTTGTTAGATTAGTATTTTATTTTTAGATAAAATAATATAAATAGAGCTTGATTAAATATTAGTATACTATACTTTGTAAAGATAATATAAACTTCGAAGAAATGTTTGCTAAAAACTAAACTTATAGCTTCATAAATTAATATTATAAAAAATATTAAAAAGAATTATTTAAACAATTTCTTTTTTAAAACAATATAATTTTAAAGATTTACATCGAAATAAATTTATCTAATATATATAGCGTGTAAATTTTGTTAGGGTATATAAATATTTCATATTACTAATCTGTGATTTTTTTTTAATATATTGTGGATGCATTTAACTATTATTGACATATTTCCTTATAAATAATAGAAGATTCCTAAACTTATATTTATTGACATATTTTGCGTGACTAAGTTAGAAGGTGTGGGGTAATTTACCAAAACTAAATTGTTAAATATATCTTTGTTATTATAGATATGATTTTTCATAAGATATAACAATGATAAGATTATTAGAGACTTAATGTAACATAACTTTCTAGTAATAGTCCATTTTAAAAAAAATCACACATGAAGTCAAGTCATAACTTCTGTTTTAATACTAGATTTTGACCCGCTCAACCGAGCGAGTTTTAATTTCTTATATATATTTGTTTACATTATTATGGGTATATATATTTTAATATTAATCACATATTTAAATATTTAATAATTTTTATTTTGTTTTGTCAACCAAATGGTGATTTGCTTATGTATATTAATTTTAGATGATATATTGTTGTATATCTATAAATTTAAGATATATTAATTTGTATACATGTAATACATAGTATGTTACCCCTTTTTGACAACATAATATATTATTTTAACATATATATTTCTATTTATGAAAATAAATATATAAATATATCATTTTAATTTAGTTTTATGATATATTTCTATTTGATGATAATTAAAATTTGAAATAACTGATTTTCGAAATATATTTCTAAAAGATTGCAAAAAGATTTTGTTAGAATCTGTTTCCAAATATTTATTTACATTTCCAATAAAAATAAGATATGAAAAGATATCATAATTAATATATGTAAAATTTATAAAGNTGATTTTCGAAATATATTTCTAAAAGATTGCAAAAAGATTTTGTTAGAATCTGTTTCCAAATATTTATTTACATTTCCAATAAAAATAAGATATGAAAAGATATCATAATTAATATATGTAAAATTTATAAAGATGGTCCAAACTAAAAAATCACACATAAAGTGAAATGGTGACTTCTGTTTTAATATATAAGATATAAGATATATACTATTACAAAATCGTTAGTCATGTATCACGGCCGTATTTTAAATCATAATACAAAGTGCTGATAATTGTTGCGGCCAAATTTAGGCACATGCTCTAGAATCAGCTCATAAAGTTTAATGTCATTTTAAAAAAGGCTTAAGTTTATTAAGCATGGTCGAATATAGGCACATGGGCTGTAATAGGATCATTAGATAAAATATTTCTTTATTATAGAAAATAAGTAGATAGTTTGACTCAAACATAAGAGTACCCACATAAAGGAGAAAGTCAACAGTAGGCAAACATAATACGTAAAATGGGAAAGGCTCATGAATAATTATAATTTAAATAGATAGTACTTTTTTTTTTTTTGAACTAAGGCTTGAATACATAGTACTTCAATCATATGTCTTCAGAACTTACACACCTTCTTGACGATCTGTAAAGCTGGATCGGCCACTTTGCTCGACACATTATCAGCAATCAAAGTTGCTTCACCATTTCTTCCTTCGACCTTAGCAAGTATTGGATTAGCACTTGGCATGTCGCCACCATCTTCATCATCTCTTCCCTGATACAGACGGTTGGTATAATTAAACACAGAGTCAAGTAGTGTAACAACATAATAACATTGGACTTACATTGTCAAGGAAGTTGGGCAGCGGCACACAATCACGCTCATCAAGAATGCGTGTGATTGTGAAGATCTGACATATGAGGGTGAAATTATATGTAGCCACCTTTACATGGAAAGTGTATGTCTTTCCTTCAACGTCTGTAACAAAGGGAGGCATCCGAGAGTCCTCAGGGTTCACACGTTTACTATTTGTTCAGAAATATATAGTAAACGTGTTAGGAATTGGAAGATGATAAATACAATAAGAGGCCAAATCCGAATTCACCAACATCCGACCAGCTTCATGTGCTTTGAGGTTGTGTAAATTTGTCATAACACCATCAAAACAAACAAATAAAGCGAAACAAAACTGTATGGAAGATGATGTTACATACGGTAGAGAACTAACAGCATGAGCATTGTCACATCGCACACATGTAAATCCAGTATCAGTGCGCTGGAGTTTCTTGACGCATTTAGAGAAAGCAACGTAACACCATCCCTTCTCTGCGTGTAACTCTCGCTGTGCATTCTATATGTTATAAACGAAGTTCATAGTGAGAACCACACCATTCAAAAAATAAAACATCACAATAGATAATCTACCTGGGACTGCGGTGTTGACAAAACTTTGAGTTCCAAATGAGTTCACCACCTCACTTTACATTATTGGCCTCTCAGAAACGCAACAATCTGGCCTCAAGAGTTGAGGAGCACCTGCCGTACTTCAGATTGGAGAAAAAACACTCTTGAATTAGCCATACCAAAGAGAATAAATATGCTAAGATTCTTCAGAAGGTGGTTTGCAAAGAAGCGAATCTCACCTATTTATATATAGAAAGCACCGAACGAAGCTTAACGCACATTAAGTGCAAATCCTGCCCGATAGAGGTTATGTTTAATGTGATGAATCTTGAAGCTAACACGTTTCGATAGATAGAAAGAAGGGGAAAGGACTTGATCAAAACCAAGAGACGAATTCGTCACACCAATTCTGCACCACAACCTCTCTAATGGCGGAACGTGACGGATCTGGACGAACTCTGACGCCGCTAATCTAACCCTAAACAGTAACGCGTAGCGAATTCACGTGGAGATGGGCTTGATTGTGTCAACAACAATTGGAAGCCCAAAACATAATACACGAAACAGTTGATAAAACGCAGCGTTGGTTATAATGGACATGTGTCACGATCACAGTCACCCTATTAGTGACATGGCACCCTCAAAACATAGAAAACTCTTCTTTATAATATAAGATAGTGAATTATGTAATTTTATTTTTTTATATATGACAAAAGATAGTCAATGATAAAATATAAAAGTAGTTAATTTCTTAATGACAAAATTTGTGATAAAACCTAGAAAAATAATAAATATTTGCGTAATTAAATGATAAAGACAATTGAAATAGTTAGGAAAAGTGAAAATGAATGTAAAATCTGTAATAAGTAACTTGAAAATTGGTGTATTATTTTTTGTACTTATGTTTTATTAATATAGATAGATGTGTTAATTTAAAAAAAGTATTGTTGCCTTTCTTGTTTCAATAAATGTATTGTCATATTAGAAATCTATTCTTTTAAAAGTGAAATGTTTTAGAAATAATACTTCGTTCAGTTTTATAATTACAACTTTTGTCACAGAATTAGTAACTATTAATTAAGTAAGAATAAATCATTTATTTTTTAGATTATCTTTAACTAAATTTATGATTATTCTCTAATAGTACTCTTTTCTAACCAATTTTCACAATAAATTTAATAGATGCCATACAAACTTTACGTGTTATATATTCATGTATATTAGACATATAGAAAAGCCTATATTTACCTTTTAGAGAGAGGGTAATTGTCTCTTCATCTTCATCTTCACTATTTTACATCTTTTAGAGAATAATTCTACCTTTTTTTGGTTTTAAATTAGTTCGAAGATATATGATCCATTTTCCATTTGCTTTGTGAATTACCCTTTGCAATGATGACTTTTGTGGTGATGGAATAAAGCTCAGTCTTTATGAGATAATACTCGTTTAAGATCGAATCAAGTCCAATATTTTCTAATAGTTTTAATGATTTTTCACCAGAGCTTGTTAAATCCCGTCCAGCTTTGCATTGGTTCTCTTCTTCTTCTCGGATGTGCATTATTTCTCTCTTATTGAAATCAACCTTTTCTCTCCTGTGTAAGGAATCGATTGATCGGTTTTGAAGAAAAATATCCTGGATAAAGACGAAGAAGTGATGCTGGACTCAGTATGGTGGATTCATGGAGATTTAATAGAGTTGGCACCTTCATGGTGGTCTGACAAAAGATCTTCATCAAGTCAACTAATCAATCCTAATTTCATCATATGTAGATGAAAGATTTTATGAATATAAGCAACAGTCTAGAGGTGAATCAACCTGAGATTGGGTCAAGCATAAGGAAAAATGAAGGTTGAACAGCAGAGGTCGGTGGAGATGTTAGTCGGATGTCGTTCCAGAAATTTTCTGAGAAGCATGTCCCACACACATGACAACGGAGGATGAAACAATGGATCAAACATGTCTTAATTGCTTTCTCATGAGATATTATTTTTTCGTTTTTTTTTTCTCATTTTGGGTTCAGACACATTATTGTAAACTGAATTGATCCAATCATTAATGAAAACTTAATTTTTGAAAAAAACATGTTTATTATCATTTCATTTCAGATAAAGTAAACTATAAATGTTTTATTATGACATATAAACTTATTTTCAAAGATATGTTAGATTGTAATATAATCCAGACAAATATATTTGAATTATAAGAATTCAACAAATAAATTTCAATTTAATATTTTTCCTAAAAAGAAATATTAAAGTGGAATTTATTCGGCATATAAAAAACTTAGAGACATATCTATCTATTTTCTAAAATAGAAATATATTATATTGACATAAAATATTTTATTTTGTAATTTAGATTATTAATATACATAAACATACTAATTATTTTTTTAATTTATAAATAAATACATTAAATTGGGGGGTTTTTGCAAAACCAACCTAAAATTTCAAGTCAAACACAAAACCAACCTCTTTTTTTTGCCCATTACTATTCACTCTTAAAAAACCTAAACTCTCCTCATGTTTCCACTTATTTACCAAATTGCCATTATTTTTAAATCTGATTTTATTTTCGAAAATTATTAAAAACCTATTACACCCTAAACATTTCTCCTTATTTACCATAATGCCATTGTCATCAATATTTGCAACCACCCAAAACCACCATTGATGAGCTCTTT